TCACACTAGCTGAACTGATAACCGAGAAGAATACACAACACGATACCGTATTATACGAGGTGTGTGTATAGGCTATATGATAGATGTTGGAATAGAAATATTGGGGTGAATTACAAATAGACTTTATTCTTAACTCACCGTTTATTTACCCTCATGATCCTAATACCGACAAGTATACTATTGTTATTTTATAATACAGAGATGGTTTTATCGCATTTGTAGAGGTCACGTTATGAAAGATGTCTCTTCACATAATGCAACTCTGAATAGGATGCGAAATATCCTATGATACCATATTGTAATCTTGGTCTATATAGCATTGCTTGCTGTTGATATTTATTGGTAGAAGATGATGGTGGTACATTACCGGGTAAACAGATAGGAAGACGTGTGGGTGTAAAATACAAACAAGCGTTATGTTAAAATGTTATTTTATTAACATCTGTTATTGGGCGAATAGATCCTTTGCGATCGGCGTAAAATACTGTAGATATTGACCGGCATCTATATTCGCTAGGCGTCTACTGGTATTGCTATTACTATCGGTCTCATTGGCGATATCGTCAGCGCCATATTTACCGACTGCGATGTCACCCGATATTTTCGGAGTACGGTGAGACGAGAGACTCTTAACGTTAACTGTTCCTTTCGATAGAGATTGTATACACTGTACGTCTCTTAACGGCTGCGACTCGTTATAACGGTTGTCGGCGACAGCGGTATTTTTTTGTCGCTTGATTGGTCGGTCGTTCTCTCGCAAGGGAAAGGGCAATCTATTCCTTCTGAGAGTAACACATACGTTTGAGAACTTTCTCAACACATCCACAACCTTTGTCTTATCTGCTTCTCGTTCAACGCCCTTTAAGAATGATAAAAAACCAGTTGATCTGATGTCGTTATCGGTAGCGACTTCCCTTTGCGTATTCGATAAAAATAGCCTGTTGAACCATATATTCGTTATGGTTTCGTTAACCAGTAAGGGCAATATGGTGTTCATAAAAGGTTCGAAGCTTCCGTGATTATCCTTGACGTAGCTGCAGTGTCCCCTGATGGTCGCATGACGATACTGTGGCGTACCGACATGCGGCTCACACTCATTGGCTAGGGTCTCTATAGCTCTGGAGATCGCAGCGTATTTTCTGGATCCGCTGAACTTGAACGCGGGAAAGTATTTGTGTGTATTGTCTGTCATTCTCTCTTTAAATGCTATCACGTCGTTTACTACCCGTAAACGATCGGGACAGACACTGTCGTCTATCTTCACGAGAGCGTCCAAGTAATCTATCAGCGATTTGTTCAATTGCTTTGTCTGTTTCTCTATCGTCTTGATCCACACGTACGACTCTTTATCGACTATGTGCACGCAGACGTCCATGAAAATATCGTTATCGTCATCACACCGTATGAGGATATTTGTGGCTCTAGCACGAAGAACCAATCCGTTTTCTGTTTTGGTAGAATCGTCCTTTATCTTCTTTCTGTATTTTGACAGGACGATTTTGATCCTTTCGTTCTTTCTTGATGTCTTAATTCTTCTCGAAATACTCTCAATCTCGTCGGCTGTGAAGAAAACGCTCGTTGGATCACCCGCAAATTGGTCGTTGAGATTTTTTTTATTGCGCGAGAGGAAGAGAAACGAAAAGGGCTTCACTCTATTTTCCAATAGGGCGGCGGCGAATCCGTATAGACTATTTTCGCAACTTTTGCAGTCTTCTGCAAGTAGTACATCTCTATTAATGTAAGATATGTCGATTAGAGACCTTCTTGTCTTCTTGCCGTCGTAGTTGTCTCGATTAGCATCATTATCGTCGTTATCGTTATCATTGTTATGTTTATCATCTGTCTTACCCAACATGGAGATGAACATGTCGATTGCTAGTAATACATAAACGACATATTCCATGCAAAATTGATCATCTCTTTCTATATACGTGTTCAGACATATTCGCCTTTCACTTCTACTATGACTAAAGTTAATTTTTATAAACTTTAAAAAATGTTGGTCACCACTATCACTGTCGGCAATGTTTTTACTGTTACTCTTGGAATCGACGGTCTTTATATTATTAAGACATATAGCTTCTTTAAATATCGATAATGTTGTTATTAGGTATTCCAAAAAACACGTCTTGAAACAAGATAATCTAACATCCTCCTTCCCGTATGGTAACATTTTAAAATCGTCGCGAAATATATTCTTTCCAAAAGAATCGAGTTAGATATAATCGAAAACGTTGACATTTCTCGCCCAACAAGGAGGAATATATATATATATATATATATATATATATATATATATATACTATCATACGATTAGGATATACGGGCTCCGTGCGTGGGTGCATATAACCTTCGAGACAATAGAAACACAAAAATAAAACCGATAAGAAGAATTAGAATATCGGTAATGACAATAACACCAACTACAAAACTCTTTGTGACGCATGAAGAATCGGTGGCAAATATGTAATGTGTTTTATTAGGGATGTCATTCCTTACAACGCTCAAGTCGATTGTTACGATTTCCGTTGTATTATCATGTGTATATTTTGTCGAAAAATTATCATCCTCATGTGTATACTCTGTCGAAATATCAACCTCCGTTATATACTCTGTCGAAATACTATCATCCGTTGTATCATCATACGGATACTCTGTCGATGTGTTATCATTGTAGAGTATCAAAGAACTCTCATGGTCGATTGAGTGTTTATCGTTATCACAAAATTCATCGTCGTTGTTATCGTCACCCTGATCATCGTCATCGTTATCATGATCGTCCTCATCAACAACAGAACACTGGTAGTGATACCCGGTTATGTTTTGAAGGACCATAGATTCTCCAGTATTAGAACCCAACGAAATTTTGACACACTTTCTCTCATGAACGTCCCAACCGCAATACGGATCTCTTAAACTGACGCAGGATTTGCATGTCATGGCTCTGTGACAGCGTTGAGTGTCAATAGATTTTGCCTCGTCATGCGTTAATATCACCAGCCTCCCTCCTTTACTTTGCTCTTCTCCTACATTTGTTTCTTTCACGAGGTACATGTTAGTTATAGTCGCTGGTCGCGAGAAAATTCGAATCTCTTCGATAATAATCGGCTCTGCAGAATCTATATTTTCGTACGATATAACGTTGATGAGTTTAACTATGGACAGAGCTGCTCCTGCTCCTAAAAAAAGAACATCGATAGTCCGTCCATCTTGAAGCCGGACTTGAGGGTCAACGGCGATCGTAGTAAAGCGGTATCCGAATGCACTGACGAATGGGCGGTTAAAAAATCCGGGAACAGCTGCATCCATGAGAGCGTGTGACTGTATGAAGCCGACAAATTCATCGTCGGGAAGAGCCTCATCCGTAGGAATACAAGAACCTGGTCGTCGACTTTTGGGTATCTTACTCCGAGGTACGGGAAGCCAGTTCGATTGTTGTGTTTCCTGTCCCTTAAAATCCCCATCGAAAGTATCCTGAATGGAGCGGATAGAGAAAGCGCACACGGCAGACCCCGAGACGGAGTTGGGCGGCGTTGTGAACACGGCATAGATGATATCGCGAATCTGTCCCCCGTAGGTGCCGGTGATGGCATTCGTGACCGACTGAACTTCGTCGAAATAGAAAGGGTATTCTCCGGGAACAGAACAGTTGAGTCTGCTTTTCAGGAAAGACGTCCATTTGGTCTGGGTCTTCTTATCGCCTCGGTCGTTCTTGCACACGCGAGCAATTCTCGAATAGACCCGTTTGCCGCAGTTTAAGGATTCTAGGGCAGTTTCACGAAAGACGAAATAGATAAAGTCGCCATAATCGAAAGAGTGCACAAAGCTGGGATCGTTAAGCTGTTCGTACACGGCCGCTCTTGTCGTAAGTTGATTCTTGGAAATGACGTGAGTTATACCCTGAAAATCTGCCACCGTCCCGGAATACAACTCGCCACCGACATACACGTGTGTAGAGTTCTGTCTAGGACCGAAAGGACATTGGCCAACGCCGCTCTTCGTTTCGGTATAATTAAAACTAGCGCCGTCGGCCAGTCGAACGTATCGACGACATAGAGGACTATAAGCGTTTGTGCCACAGACTAGAAACTGTTCTCCGTCTACTCTCTTTATGACCCGAATATAATTCTGACAATCCTCCTCGTATTTTCCCTTCATTAAACAATCGCGAACGCCTCTCTCGGTCGGAGGCCATATTATTCTTTGGTCTATGTTTTCTTGCATGTCCCTAATCGAAAGGTTATATATCGCATTTCTTCCTCCGACGAGTATAGAATTATCATCTCTCTCCAGCGCTCTAAAGTAGTCTGTGGCGATGCTATTATTTCCTGAGAAGGTCTGTACCTCTGCGTTCTCGGACGATACGATACTGTTGGAGTTGACGATGTTGTAAAAGTCATCACCGACAAAAGCGTATGTCGCGAGAGAAAAGAAAACCAGACCGAAAAGCCGGAACGTCGACATGTTGATATATTCTATGCAAGCGTTCTCTCCCTCCTTCAGCTCTCATGAAGTAAAGAGTCGAGTCCTAGTTTTCAGGATATGTGCTTATTATGGATCCCCGGCCGAGAGCTCCATATATCTTTTCCGTTTCTTTTATCACGATATTATTGTTATGGTCTCTCGGCCGAATGTTTCGCGTATCGTTCCCTTTTCTTAATATTTTTATAATCCATATGTTGACTCTTAATATCAACATTACCATTATAAGTGTTAATCTTCCATATGAGGTTTGGTTTCAGTTTGTTTAGGATTGCGATTCAATGATTTCAGCTTGTGTAAGATTAGGAGTCAAGATAAATAATTGAATTAAACCAGTTTTATTTATAAATATCTGCATATTGCATGTTGTTAGGACTATTGCAGGATTTGTTGTTTTACAATAAGATACCTACATAGATACATATATATATATATACATATACATACATATACACACACCTATATATATATATATATCACACTAATAATACACCTATATATACATATATAATCCATAGATGACGCTGATGGGGACGACGACGTCCACGATAACTGCGAGGCGCTTACGAGTACGACAGCCACGTAATGATCATGAACGATATAATGAAGACATGTCTGTCTATCTTTGAGGAACTGTAAGGTCAACGGATTAACATACTTGTATTTGCAGAAACTGTCATGTGATTTATGTTTAATAATCCATAGATGACGCTGATGGGGACGACGACGTCCACGACAACTGCGAGGCACTTATAGGTGTGTGTATATGTATGTATATGTATATATATATGTATCTATGTAGGTATCTTATTGTAAAACAACAAATCCTGCAATAGTCCTAACAACATGCAATATGCAGATATTTATAAATAAAACTGGTTTAATTCAATTATTTATCTTGACTCCTAATCTTACACAAGCTGAAATCATTGAATCGCAATCCTAAACAAACTGAAACCAAACCTCATATGGAAGATTAACACTTATAATGGTAATGTTGATATTAAGAGTCAACATATGGATTATAAAAATATTAAGAAAAGGGAACGATACGCGAAACATTCGGCCGAGAGACCATAACAATAATATCGTGATAAAAGAAACGGAAAAGATATATGGAGCTCTCGGCCGGGGATCCATAATAAGCACATATCCTGAAAACTAGGACTCGACTCTTTACTTCATGAGAGCTGAAGGAGGGAGAGAACGCTTGCATAGAATATATCAACATGTCGACGTTCCGGCTTTTCGGTCTGGTTTTCTTTTCTCTCGCGACATATGCTTTTGTCGGTGATGACTTTTACAACATCGTCAACTCCAACAGTATCGTATCGTCCGAGAACGCAGAGGTACAGACCTTCTCAGGAAATAATAGCATCGCCACAGACTACTTTAGAGCGCTGGAGAGAGATGATAATTCTATACTCGTCGGAGGAAGAAATGCGATATATAACCTTTCGATTAGGGACATGCAAGAAAACATAGACCAAAGAATAATATGGCCTCCGACCGAGAGAGGCGTTCGCGATTGTTTAATGAAGGGAAAATACGAGGAGGATTGTCAGAATTATATTCGGGTCATAAAGAGAGTAGACGGAGAACAGTTTCTAGTCTGTGGCACAAACGCTTATAGTCCTCTATGTCGTCGATACGTTCGACTGGCCGACGGCGCTAGTTTTAATTATACCGAAACGAAGAGCGGCGTTGGCCAATGTCCTTTCGGTCCTAGACAGAACTCTACACACGTGTATGTCGGTGGCGAGTTGTATTCCGGGACGGTGGCAGATTTTCAGGGTATAACTCACGTCATTTCCAAGAATCAACTTACGACAAGAGCGGCCGTGTACGAACAGCTTAACGATCCCAGCTTTGTGCACTCTTTCGATTATGGCGACTTTATCTATTTCGTCTTTCGTGAAACTGCCCTAGAATCCTTAAACTGCGGCAAACGGGTCTATTCGAGAATTGCTCGCGTGTGCAAGAACGACCGAGGCGATAAGAAGACCCAGACCAAATGGACGTCTTTCCTGAAAAGCAGACTCAACTGTTCTGTTCCCGGAGAATACCCTTTCTATTTCGACGAAGTTCAGTCGGTCACGAATGCCATCACCGGCACCTACGGGGGACAGATTCGCGATATCATCTATGCCGTGTTCACAACGCCGCCCAACTCCGTCTCGGGGTCTGCCGTGTGCGCTTTCTCTATCCGCTCCATTCAGGATACTTTCGATGGGGATTTTAAGGGACAGGAAACACAACAATCGAACTGGCTTCCCGTACCTCGGAGTAAGATACCCAAAAGTCGACGACCAGGTTCTTGTATTCCTACGGATGAGGCTCTTCCCGACGATGAATTTGTCGGCTTCATACAGTCACACGCTCTCATGGATGCAGCTGTTCCCGGATTTTTTAACCGCCCATTCGTCAGTGCATTCGGATACCGCTTTACTACGATCGCCGTTGACCCTCAAGTCCGGCTTCAAGATGGACGGACTATCGATGTTCTTTTTTTAGGAGCAGGAGCAGCTCTGTCCATAGTTAAACTCATCAACGTTATATCGTACGAAAATATAGATTCTGCAGAGCCGATTATTATCGAAGAGATTCGAATTTTCTCGCGACCAGCGACTATAACTAACATGTACCTCGTGAAAGAAACAAATGTAGGAGAAGAGCAAAGTAAAGGAGGGAGGCTGGTGATATTAACGCATGACGAGGCAAAATCTATTGACACTCAACGCTGTCACAGAGCCATGACATGCAAATCCTGCGTCAGTTTAAGAGATCCGTATTGCGGTTGGGACGTTCATGAGAGAAAGTGTGTCAAAATTTCGTTGGGTTCTAATACTGGAGAATCTATGGTCCTTCAAAACATAACCGGGTATCACTACCAGTGTTCTGTTGTTGATGAGGACGATCATGATAACGATGACGATGATCAGGGTGACGATAACAACGACGATGAATTTTGTGATAACGATAAACACTCAATCGACCATGAGAGTTCTTTGATACTCTACAATGATAACACATCGACAGAGTATCCGTATGATGATACAACGGATGATAGTATTTCGACAGAGTATATAACGGAGGTTGATATTTCGACAGAGTATACACATGAGGATGATAATTTTTCGACAAAATATACACATGATAATACAACGGAAATCGTAACAATCGACTTGAGCGTTGTAAGGAATGACATCCCTAATAAAACACATTACATATTTGCCACCGATTCTTCATGCGTCACAAAGAGTTTTGTAGTTGGTGTTATTGTCATTACCGATATTCTAATTCTTCTTATCGGTTTTATTTTTGTGTTTCTATTGTCTCGAAGGTTATATGCACCCACGCACGGAGCCCGTATATCCTAATCGTATGATAGTATATATATATATATATATATATATATATATATATATATATATATTCCTCCTTGTTGGGCGAGAAATGTCAACGTTTTCGATTATATCTAACTCGATTCTTTTGGAAAGAATATATTTCGCGACGATTTTAAAATGTTACCATACGGGAAGGAGGATGTTAGATTATCTTGTTTCAAGACGTGTTTTTTGGAATACCTAATAACAACATTATCGATATTTAAAGAAGCTATATGTCTTAATAATATAAAGACCGTCGATTCCAAGAGTAACAGTAAAAACATTGCCGACAGTGATAGTGGTGACCAACATTTTTTAAAGTTTATAAAAATTAACTTTAGTCATAGTAGAAGTGAAAGGCGAATATGTCTGAACACGTATATAGAAAGAGATGATCAATTTTGCATGGAATATGTCGTTTATGTATTACTAGCAATCGACATGTTCATCTCCATGTTGGGTAAGACAGATGATAAACATAACAATGATAACGATAACGACGATAATGATGCTAATCGAGACAACTACGACGGCAAGAAGACAAGAAGGTCTCTAATCGACATATCTTACATTAATAGAGATGTACTACTTGCAGAAGACTGCAAAAGTTGCGAAAATAGTCTATACAGATTCGCCGCCGCCCTATTGGAAAATAGAGTGAAGCCCTTTTCGTTTCTCTTCCTCTCGCGCAATAAAAAAAATCTCAACGACCAATTTGCGGGTGATCCAACGAGCGTTTTCTTCACAGCCGACGAGATTGAGAGTATTTCGAGAAGAATTAAGACATCAAGAAAGAACGAAAGGATCAAAATCGTCCTGTCAAAATACAGAAAGAAGATAAAGGACGATTCTACCAAAACAGAAAACGGATTGGTTCTTCGTGCTAGAGCCACAAATATCCTCATACGGTGTGATGACGATAACGATATTTTCATGGACGTCTGCGTGCACATAGTCGATAAAGAGTCGTACGTGTGGATCAAGACGATAGAGAAACAGACAAAGCAATTGAACAAATCGCTGATAGATTACTTGGACGCTCTCGTGAAGATAGACGACAGTGTCTGTCCCGATCGTTTACGGGTAGTAAACGACGTGATAGCATTTAAAGAGAGAATGACAGACAATACACACAAATACTTTCCCGCGTTCAAGTTCAGCGGATCCAGAAAATACGCTGCGATCTCCAGAGCTATAGAGACCCTAGCCAATGAGTGTGAGCCGCATGTCGGTACGCCACAGTATCGTCATGCGACCATCAGGGGACACTGCAGCTACGTCAAGGATAATCACGGAAGCTTCGAACCTTTTATGAACACCATATTGCCCTTACTGGTTAACGAAACCATAACGAATATATGGTTCAACAGGCTATTTTTATCGAATACGCAAAGGGAAGTCGCTACCGATAACGACATCAGATCAACTGGTTTTTTATCATTCTTAAAGGGCGTTGAACGAGAAGCAGATAAGACAAAGGTTGTGGATGTGTTGAGAAAGTTCTCAAACGTATGTGTTACTCTCAGAAGGAATAGATTGCCCTTTCCCTTGCGAGAGAACGACCGACCAATCAAGCGACAAAAAAATACCGCTGTCGCCGACAACCGTTATAACGAGTCGCAGCCGTTAAGAGACGTACAGTGTATACAATCTCTATCGAAAGGAACAGTTAACGTTAAGAGTCTCTCGTCTCACCGTACTCCGAAAATATCGGGTGACATCGCAGTCGGTAAATATGGCGCTGACGATATCGCCAATGAGACCGATAGTAATAGCAATACCAGTAGACGCCTAGCGAATATAGATGCCGGTCAATATCTACAGTATTTTACGCCGATCGCAAAGGATCTATTCGCCCAATAACAGATGTTAATAAAATAACATTTTAACATAACGCTTGTTTGTATTTTACACCCACACGTCTTCCTATCTGTTTACCCGGTAATGTACCACCATCATCTTCTACCAATAAATATCAACAGCAAGCAATGCTATATAGACCAAGATTACAATATGGTATCATAGGATATTTCGCATCCTATTCAGAGTTGCATTATGTGAAGAGACATCTTTCATAACGTGACCTCTACAAATGCGATAAAACCATCTCTGTATTATAAAATAACAATAGTATACTTGTCGGTATTAGGATCATGAGGGTAAATAAACGGTGAGTTAAGAATAAAGTCTATTTGTAATTCACCCCAATATTTCTATTCCAACATCTATCATATAGCCTATACACACACCTCGTATAATACGGTATCGTGTTGTGTATTCTTCTCGGTTATCAGTTCAGCTAGTGTGATATTTCGCTGACATAGCTTATTCTACACATGATCGTCAAGAAAACAGGCATCTACCGTTTTACCACCATAAACGTTACCCTTTCATAATCATCGTCGTCGTCGTCTTCATTGCTGTTGTTCGTATTGGTGGAGTTTTCTTTTCCATCGTCACTATTGTCGCTACTGCCGTCAACGAAGCCAGCATCGTCATCCTCATCATCACGTACATTATCGTCATTGTTGTTTCTATCATTGATGTTGCTATCATTGCAGCGCTCTCGCTGCAGCAACTCGTCGTCCTGCAATTTCCTATAATGATAATAAGCAATGTTGTGCGGGTCAAGATGAGGTGGAGGGTCGCTTCCTATAGGTAGTTGTGCGTATTCGTCCCAATATTGATCACCGGGTATATAATGCGAAGGAGACGTGTTGTACTTCTGATACATCAAGGCAGCGTTGTCGCGAATATTATCGTGTAGTAGCGACGGAGCAGCTATATCGTATGTTTCTATTAGAGTGCTCAGTTCGTGATTCTCCTTGTCCAGCAATTCCCACGAAAGCGACATTTTTTTCTGATTGTCCATATCAACTACATTACGCCTGCTACACATGTAGACATATATATATGTGTGTGTGTGTAACCCTCTCCTTTCCCCGTCTGAGAGAGCAAAAGAACATACAGAATAGCCAGATGTGTTTTATATTCTAAATGTTCCCTAATCCGATTATCATTATCGACAACGAGAGTTTGAAAATTAAACGGCTTGTAATGACACCACAAGAAACCGACAGAATATATCTGGCGGCCTTTTCGAAGTTACGTCATGCGAGGAAACATCTTCTTAAATGTGGCCTTTACAAATACGTAATACATAAATCTGTATATAAAACAATTTCTCTACTAAAAAGATATAACGATACACATTTCGGTTTTAATGGGCATTACAGAAAAAGACGTAGAAATACGTTGGAATATCATTCGTATAACAAGCGAAAGCTGTATGTGCTAATCTGATCATCTGAAACCGTCATTAATGTTTTCAACCTAAGTGTATGACTCGATTATTTTTATCGATGAAGAAAGGTTTATCCTCAGACATCTAATGTGAAAAGATGAAAAATAGCAGTGTCGATCTAAAATGCTGTAACGATACGAGAGAAGAAATTTGGTGTACACATAACCATCGCGCTACAGTGTTTCGTTGGTATCACGAGAAAGAAAAAACGATAACGCGAGAGGAGAAGTTGTAACGATCTTAAAATGTTGCGATGATACGAGAGAAGAATTTTTTTATGGCGAAAAAAAGCCGATCTATAAACCATCATCATCATCAGACTCTAGGAGTCGTATAAATATTTTGTTGGCACGATAGAGAACATTTTGTTGTCGAAGAAAGGTCCATTCACAAAACGTCTAATACAGAAGGGAGAGAAGCGACTCTGTCGATCTAAAAGAGAGTTAATATTTTGTTGCTCATATGTAGAAAAGAGAGGAGAAACCGCACTGACCTAAAAATGTCGAGATGGTACGAGAGAAGAGATTTGTCGTCGAATAAAGCGTTGATATACAAATCGCCATCACACTATAAGTTATTGATTTGTTCATGCAAAAAATTAAACGGATGTTTCGTTGGCACGAGAGAGACTAGTCTGTTGCCGAAAGAAGGTAGATCCGCCAAACGCTAACGTGGAAAAGAGAGAAGCAACTCTGTCGATTTAATATATCGGGATGATACGAGAGAGGAGATTTGGTGTTGGTGCACAAATCGCCATCAGAAAATAAAATATACCGACACAAAACGAAATGTTGTTTTATTCACACAAAAGAAGAGACGATAACGCGAGAGGAGAAACTGTACCGATCTAGAATGCTGCGATGATGCGAGAGAAGAAATTTTGACGTTGAAAAATATATTGATCTATAAATCGTCATCGGACTCTGGAGGACATGTAACAATTTCGCTGTGTGTGTGTGCGTGTGTGCTGGTATTCTTATTTTATATTTCGTTTCACGTAGGATTTTATCCTTCTATCGTACAAGGGTGTTGACTAAGTAGATGCAAGACCTTCACCGTACAAGGGTATCGATTAGGTAGATACATAAACAGACAGATTAACCATATTCTATTAATATGTGACAGTAGATAAGGAGAACTAGTCACGACGCCATAGTAATGGTGTTAGGGTTTCAGCTCACAGGGACACGGTCGCATCCGTGAATCGCTTCCCGATGACGACGCGGCGACTCTCGCGGCAACACGTCCAGCGTCCTCGAAGTGGTCCCTCGACTCCCGGAACTAACTTCTTTGAGAGCGGCGTACACTGCGAGCGGTGGCTGCCTTCCACGCGTCTTTATAACGACAGTTACCGGGCGGATACCTGTAACGTTACAGCACGCAGCACCGAGACAAGAGAGAAAGGAATTTGTTGTTAGCTTGATTCATATAGGACCACGTATAAAATCTTCGATGTCGATTCTGCATCGAAAGCACAGACAGAGAAAGAACAATAAGCTAGGACCAACGGGGTAAAATACGTTTGACGAGAATAGAGTCGTGTGAAATATTCGACTAAGTCAAGGGTACAGGGAGAGAGTCGAACATCAATTTTAGAAGAATAATACGAAACGGTTGATGAAAAAGAATCAACAGAATTTATCTACACGTGACCAACATAGAAATTATATTTCGATGTCACATCTGT